CTTCTACTTCAGTAAGAAACATTTTGATACTTCTGCCAGTTTGCAGTTTATTACCTGCAGGGCTGTCTGGTCTACATACACAGCTTTTCCATCTTATCAGATTTGCTTAATAGATGGAGTCACATAGAGATTATTTTATGTTCCAACCGTCTGTATCGTCTCCTTACCGCTGCTACATCTGTACTGATCTTGGCACCTTTAGGCTGGGTTTATTTCCATGTTGCTCTGCTCTGCTTTCCTCTGCAACGCAGCCTTTGTTGACAGATTATTCAAGCTTTATTGCAAGTCTAAGGTCTAAGTCTCTAGGTTTCCTCTAACGTTTGGTTCTGCCGGTTCGGCCCAGGGACCTCTGAGTTTTCAACCATGCCTACTTGCTCCGTTTGCCTGTTTTTGTTGTTGTTTTGGACTGATACCTGGATTCCTCCTGGCGCTGACCCTTGACCTGTCTTCTCACCACGGCTTGAATTACCATTCTGGATCTTTTGGTTCCCATGCGTGCTGTGGCTGCTAAAGGATGCTGCTTCTTTTCTCACCTGGATCTCTGGTACCGTCTCAGCATAAAGGAAAAGGAGTTCCACTGCTCTGGACAGCACTACTTCTGAGTACAGACTGAGCAGCTGCACGCTTTATTAATGAACTCTTTTTTGAATATACCACTTTCTGTCCCGCCTGAATTCTAGTTCTTATGTTCTGAGCCTTCTGACAACATCTCCTCCAACCGCTTTATATCTTCAGCTGCTATGCAAAAAAATAGCGGTTCAAACTAAAAAGCATTTTACACTTGTGTATTTTTATTAGAAACATCAGTTCCCCCACAGCTGGGGGCTTTCATCACCAGCTAAACGTCTAGATGACACAATAACAACATGTCAGCTTACTAATGATGGGACAAATCAGAGCTTCTAAAATAAGAAATGTTAGTGGAAGATTCCTGAGGTTATTCTTGACATGGACTGATGTCAGAGACATACAGTAAAGGCCCAGAGGAACCAGTCAGACCATTTTAACTAACAGCTTTCATTAAAAACAAAACTTCTTAGTGTATGATTTTTTTTTTGTTCTTTTCATTCTGCCCCATGAGGCTGATCAGGTTACAGGGAAATAGGCAATAAGCAAGTCCCGACAGATACACTATTCAGACTGAGGATGGAAAAACAAAACAGAAAGCTTCTTTATTACATTCCAGGTTCACAATACAATACGTGTAACCGTTGTATTTTTATTAGAAATGTAGAGACATGTTTAATTTTTTTCATTTTTTAAGATTCACATACTTTTTCAGCATAGATTGAAAGGTGGGGGGATTGCAAGTTTGTTCAGCCAATAAAGTGCATGTGGCAACAGGGTCGGGTGCATTTAATAAACCCACCATATTGTTTTTATTGCTGATTCCCAACAAATAGCAGCAGGATAATTTGAAGTGGTGCTACATGCAGGGTGATTATAAATGAACCCTTAGCTGAAACAGTACATTATGCACATTAATCCTTATCCCATAGGATAAATATTCTCTATGAATGTAAAGCAAAACATGCAGCGTATTCAGGCAATGGATTTCCACCTTAAAGAAAGATCAATACTTGCTTGTTTTGATTGAAACATTAGACCTGTAAGAAAAACAAACTTCTTAACGATAAAGCCAATGAGAGCAGCAGCTTTGCAATGGATCAGCGGAACCTTAAAGCTATAAACGTATTACAGTAACAACCAAAACAGTAACATAGTAACTGGGTAGCCTGCCTTTTGAGATAAATACAATCTTATGGGAAATTATTAAAGGAGAAATAAATCACTTCAGGCATGTTTAGATAAAGTGGCTTCAGATAAGAAAAACTGGAAGGGGAAATTAATAGTGTTACACCGATTCCATAGGGCAATTTTAGAGCCAAAAGTTTATTCAACTATTGTCACCCAATACAGTTAGGGAATAATAAGTTCTACTGGATTCACTTTGTTTTAGTCTTTTTCCTGCTTCACAAAGGTAGGCAGCAGCTGGATAAAGCCATGACGGCAATTATTTTCCATCCAAGTAGTATGCAGTTCTTCATATATACACACACACATCAATTTCAAACAGATGGTATCGGCCAATACTGCACAGCCAGGTATCGGTATCAGGGTCAAAAAATGGCATCGGCACAACACTAGATATTAATAATAATTACAATAAAATCAATGCCTTACTTTGTAGCTGAGTTCACTGTGGAAAAATAACATCTTTTAGGAAAATGTAAAGGATCAGAAGAAAATATCTGATATCCAATGGTCATGCTCCCAGCGAAATATTTCCCTTTCTTTGAATTTTAAAATTACATAAGAGAAACGGGGTTTGCAGCAAGGCATGTAATCAGTGGGGGAAAGGGAAGCTACCCGAGGTGAGGTTGACATGGAAACAGCTGGATAACCGCGGTGACCTTCCATCAATGACTTGGTGCAATGATATTGTCTTACTAATGTCAGTCCAAATAAACCAAAAGCCACATACATCCCAGGCCTCTCACGTTGTGTTGCATTTAAAGACTCTTCTTGAGTTGCTTCTCTTACAGCTGAAAAAAAACCAAAACACAAAAACAATAATAAATAACTTTTTTTTTTGTGCTGTTTTTAACAAACCCACACAGGTTATTTTCACTATTTAGTGTTTGCCTGTATAGTTTTACCAAAAAAGATTCAGCCTCTGCATTAACGTAGGTATATTGAAAAAATACAAACTATACAGGGTTTTAAAAATAAACAGATTAAGCAAAAACATACCTAAACAAACGTAAAAATATACATAATTACTTTATCTTAGATTTATTTATAAAGACATTTAAAAGTTATTACAATTAGTTTTTAATAAATCTATTTTCTAAATAAAATGAAGATGATTTTCATCATTTTATTTCTACATTTTATATGTATTTTAATAATTTATTGGGACATTTAATTATTTAATAATGTGTTTGTTAATATAATGGTGTATTTAATATTTGAATCAAATAATAAACAAATAATAAAAAAAAAATGTTACATATTGAAAATTATAATAATAAAACCCTGGTAATATTATTGAGATAACAGTAACTAGATTGTTCTTTTATTTCATTTTTTATAGGAAACAGTCTATAATTTATAAATTTGGCCCAACAAGGTGGAGCAGGTGTTCACTATTCCTTATTGCAACATTATATTGCTGTCAATAGATTAAATCAATCAAATCATTGGTCACATGCTTAGTTCCCTGATTCCCACCTTTGACGACAACCTCCAAATTTGTGAAAGTGCTTCTTCCATCAACCCTAATGAANATCAAATCATTGGTCACATGCTTAGTTCCCTGATTCCCACCTTTGACGACAACCTCCAAATTTGTGAAAGTGCTTCTTCCATCAACCCTAATGAAGGATTGATAGCGTCCTGCGTCGCTAAACTTCAGGTCCCTCAGGAGACATCGGATCTGTCCGTCCTCATCTTGCTGTAGATCACACTGGAATCGGCCTCTTAGTGTTTCATCCATGTACGGCTCAGGCTGATATGTGCTGTCATATCGATAAATGCACCTTAGAGGCTCCTTATTGATCAGATCCATGTACATCCTGCTGGAGGAAGAGAAAACTGGAGACGACAATGTCAGCGTGATGTTGGAGTGTTCTTCCGCCTCATAGACGTCCTGAGTGCCGTTTCCATCCATCAGGTGTTTACCTGCAGGAGTCAGAATGTATGGATCAGAGTATGAGGCTCACAGGCTGATAAAGTCCTCAGAAACATCTGATCAGGCTAACTAACAGTAGCTCTGCTCATTGCATTTTAAAGATTGTCACTAACAAGGAGAATAAAATGGATTAAAAGGATAAACTTAAAGAGGATCAACATATTTCATACTCATTAAAACCACATGAACTTTTCCACACGTTTCCCATTTTAACCACAAACATTGACATTATCATCATTTATTTTATTTGATGAAAAAACATGTTGTAAATAGCAGCACATAAAGTGGAACTCTGGGATATTTACATTCAAATAATGATGTAAAAGTTCAGAGCGAGCTGTAATATGACCCTCTTTACTCTGATACATATTAATAAAATCAAACAAACTGATGACCTTCAGAAGGTCATTAGTAGTCTGCTCTTTAATTTAATCTCAGTATAAATCCAGGTAACAGCTCCATAAAGACAGAGGACCACAGCAGTCATGTCAGGGATAAGACTGAGGATAAATTAAAGGAAAAGTTAAATAATGAAGAAATATTTCAAAATCTGAACAGGACCATCATCTGGTAACGGAGAAGTCATTACTTCAATCAGTATTTATTTCCACCAAAATTCAGCTTTTATGAACTATTTAGCAGAAAGTACAGATAGGCAGTACTTCAGTACAATGACTGAGGTAAATGTAAATGGTTACTTTCCACCAATGCTGCAGAATAATACAAAGGAACGCAATCTACCCAACTTTAGAAAAATGTATTCAAAGGTATAGTGGAGGATTTTTGTGATATTTTGAAAAGTAAAGCGATAGTTCAAAATCTAAACNCCTGATTCCCACCTTTGACGACAACCTCCAAATTTGTGAAAGTGCTTCTTCCATCAACCCTAATGAAAGCTTGATAGCGTCCTGCGTCGCTGAACTTCAGGTCTTTCAGGAGACATTGGATCTGTCCGTCCTCATCTCGCTGTAGATCACACTGGAATCGGCCTCTTAGTGTTTCATCCATGTACGGCTCAGGTTGATATGTGCTGTCATACCGATAAATGCACCTTAGAGGCTCCTTATTGATCAGATCCATGTACATCCTGCTGGAGGTAGTGATAACTGGAGACGACAATGTCAGCGTGATGTTGGAGTGTTCTTCCGCCTCATAGACGTCCTGAGTGCCGTTTCCATCCATCAGGGGTTTACCTGCAGGAGTCAGAATGTATGGATTAGAGTATGAGGCTCACAGGCTGATAAAGTCCTCAGAACCATCTGATCAGGCTAACTAACAGTAGCTCTGCTCATTGCATTTTAAAGATTGTCACTAATAAGGAGAATAAATTTGATTAAAAGGTTAAACTTAAAGAGGATCAACATATTTCATACTCATTCAAACCACATGAACTTTTCCACAAGTTTCCCATTTTGACCACAAACGTTAACATTATCATCATTTATTTTATTTGATAAAGCAACATGTTGTAAAGAGCAGCACATAAAGTGGAACTCTGGGATATTTACACCGAAACATTCAAAATATCATGTAAAAGTTCAGTGGGAGCTTTAATATGACGCCCTGAACAGGACCATCATCTGGTAACGGAGAAGTCATTAAATTAGTATTTATTTCCACTGAGTAAATGTAAATTTTTACTTTCCACCAATGCTGCAAGATAATACAAAGGAATGCAATCTACCCAACTTTAGAAAGATTTACCTAAAGGTATAGTGGAGGATTTTTGTGAATTTTTGAAAAGTAAAGCGATAGTTCAAAATCTAAACATGACCTTCATCTGGTAATGTAGAGGGTATTACTTAGATCAGTATTTATTTCCACTCAGT